TTTTTTTGTTACATTTCTTATTTTCTAAAAGGCCCCGTTATGAAATCAAAAAAATAACTTGAGCTAACAAAATTAAAAGTGGGAACTCATTGTTGCTCAAAGAAAAAAAAATCTTCAGAAAAACATATTTGCACATAGCCATGACAACATATTGCTGCTGTATCCAAGCAGCTGGCACTCTACCATTACAACAAAGTATAATCACAGTGTGATAGAGGGACTGTGGTATAATGTTTGTTTTTTTTCTATTTAAAAAGATGTGTACAAAAGTGGCAAAAATAAAACAGCAGCATTGTAACATGTGAACAGAATGGGGTGGTTGCACAATGTGTATTTGTTATATCGGTAAGCCAAAGTTTCAATTGCTCATGTAAACAGTTACATGTTTGAATCACTGAATGTTTTAATTAGCCCTTGTAGCTAACAAGTCAGAGACTTTCATCCAATCCCCTCATTTTCTACGGCAGCTTCAAATAAAACTTAATATTTGAATTCAGAGAAAATTAAATAAGTCAACCATCCCATTAGTTCATTACTGACTTATTCTCAACAAATATTCCAGAAGCAAGATGCTTCAATCCAATGCAATTAATTATTTTATTTTTTTTTTGAAAATTTTGTCAAAATCAATGTCATCAAAACAATTACATTTTGCACTTTGTTAGGTCAGTTAAAAAGTTTCTGTTTGTTTAAGGTAGGATAGTTCCATTAGTACCTAAGCATATGCCCCAAGAATTATCATTAATTGTAACTCATAACATTAATGTCTAGACATGAAAAAAATCTCTAACACAGCACCTTAGAATTTATTTTTAGAATATTTCAGTGATTTCATCAGATTTACAATTACACATGAAAACTAATCATGATAATTTGGTTATTATGTTAAATACACAATATCAATGTAGATTACAAGTCAATATTACAATATAGTTTGTGCTTGAATACTACCATGTGGGTCATTAATGAAGTCATTATACAGAACATGTATTGCCTCCTAAATGTCAAAGGGCATTATATTAACAATGAAAGTCAATATCTTACAATTGCATTAGCCCTTCAAACAATGTGTCCTGCCATCATGCTGCTACTTTTGGTACATTTTTATTGTATCTTTGCAGACTTTGGATGAAATGGACATCATTTTCCATTGACTATTGAAATTGACCAAACTGGGATACATAAAGGATTTATTTTTTGACAGACTTTGAAAATGTTAATGAGGTCATTATGTCAAATATTGTCTCCAGTTTGAATGACCCCAATTTACTCAGCATGTTTTCATATGCCATTATATTGTAGTCTGTATTACAATATATCAATCTCTAGAAATATGTAATATACACTGAACAATAATCAAGATATGAGTAACCTTTCAAATAATGTCAAACTAATTACCGGTATGAGTCTTTGTCGACGCATCAGTGGGATCACAGGTAAAATAAGACTAAACAGAGGTCAATAATAGCACTCAACTGTTTACATATTATTCAATTACAAAGAATCAATAAAACAGATTGAATTTGACTGAAAGGTCATTATACCTCTATATATGCCAATAGATTCAATAACACACAATGGAAAGTTAATTGTTATCGCATAACAGAATACAGCTGTAATGTTAAGTCAATACATGGCTTGCTCTTTTCTAATACACTGTCAATAGGAATAAATCAACCCAGCTGTACCCTGTGATATGTGCATAGATTTCAATTTGTGTAAAACAGCGCTTCAAAGTAATCAATTTAAACTCAATACATTGGAGTGTCAATATAAACCTGGGGATAATATTCAGCCATCAGATCATATTTTTGGTGATGTTAATTTCAATTTTGTTTTAATATACAATACTGTATTTTCATTTGAAGTTTTTTTCACAGTAAATCAGCGAAAGTAAAATCCAGTGAAAATTCGTTTGACAAATGATCAGGAAACTGCTAAACACAATTTCAAGTTAACTTAAATAAAATTGACAGTTGGGTTTAATTGCAGCTCTGTGTAATAGATATAAATGTACCATTAACCATCACTATTCATCTTCATACATTTTTAAGGCTTTGTGTTAGGATCAAATGCAGTGATAAAATTAGACTTTGGCATTCAAATCATCAAAGATATATTTATAAACCATGCTATGTATTATGATGTTACAGAATTATTCATAGTCTAAAACGCCATATAGGCAGTGTAAGCTGGTTTTCACAATAGAAAACCAAATTTCCACAAAGTTTACAGTCATGATTTAAATACATTTTTTTATAAGAGTAACAATAAATTAGGGGAAATAAATTCACTGGTAGCTCAACTTGGAATCATTTTTCAGCCATTACCACAGGAAACAATTTAGAACAATTCTGACTCGATAGGAAATCAGAAGGCATTTAGACATCAGAAATACAAATTCACAGATTATCATGAATATCAATTTTTGAGGCAATGATTTAAACAAAATATCATAAATAACTAGTCTTTGTGAATAAAAGAATAATTTAACACTTCACACAGCATTGAAACTCCTCCCCAATCTTTCTAATGATTTTTTGGTTGTGCATGATATATGTTAGGAATATGGACATTCATTTGTTTTTTCCATTTTTTCTCAAACTTGTACTCAAGGTAGCAATTAATGACATGATTAATACTAGAATTTTAAAGGTAATGCATTTGAGATCATACGCCTACCCCGAGACAGCAGTTTTAGAATCAATGACATTTTGACTAGCACAGTAAACTTTGCAAATATCTACATGTACAACATGAAAGGTCATCAGCCCAAATCTTGCTTCAGTGATGAAAAAATGAAGTTTGAACAATGACCAGGAAATCATGGAATTCATTTTATTTGACTCCTGAAAATTGTGCTGATGTGGTGAAAACCCCGAAAGGTTTCTACTCAAATTGTGCTGATGTGGTGAAAACCCTGAAAGGTTTCTACTCAAATTGTGCTGATGTGGTGAAAACCTCGAAAGGTTTCTACTCAAATTGTGCTGATGTGGTGAAAACCCTGAAAAGTTTCTACTCAAATTGTGCTGATGTGGTGAAAACCCTGAAAAGTTTCTACTCAAATTGTGCTGATGTGGTGAAAACCCTGAAAGGTTTCTACTCAAATTGTGCTGATGTGGTGAAAACCCCAAAAGGTTTCTACTCAAATTGTGCTGATGTGGTGAAAACCCTGAAAGGTTTCTGATGTGTGTGATCTTGTGCAACGTTTTTAAATCAAACATTTATCTGTTATTCAGTGAGGATGGTAGATATATATTCAGAGGCAAGTCTGGTGATTATTGCACTACCTATCTATGAATGAAATAGATATACGACATACTAGTGGAGGGTGGATACCATGTGATTATAAAATTACAATGGGATTAAGTGGAAAGGAGGTGGCAGTAACTTTCCTAAGTCTAGTCCACATGAATTAGGATCAAGTTAGAAATTAAAACAATGAATTTATACTATCTTAAGTATAAAGCTTCAGATCAATTTAAGATATCAACCCTTCAGATATTTCACACTTATTCAGCTGTAGACCCAGTCAGGCATTAATGAGGTCTGTAACAAACTCAAAAAATAATACAGTAAGGCTCGCAAAAAAATTGTCATGGGCCAAATTGTTTTACAAAATTGATGTGAATGCCAATTGTTCCATGAAAACTTTCCTTCTCACACATTCTGACAAACATCTACCCCACCTGTACAAAATCTTTATTTTTTTCTTTAAATTAATGCACATGTTAACCAGAAATGTTAAAAATAAAAACCTGGGCCTTATCAAGTATTCTACTGTAAAATACTTCATTTTGTTTGGAATTAATTTTTGATATTCTCACTGAAGGAATGATTAAGTGAATATAAAATCCAGCGAATATACTTTTTTTCTTATGTTTTACCACTCATCTCACCAAAAATCAGTTAAAATAAATTCCATACAAAACACCCAATACGTCATTTCAGCAAAAATTAATTCCAGCTGAAATAAAGTATTTCAAAGTAAGTATATGTCTAACAGTACCAGATTGTGACATCTTCAATACAGGAGAACATGCGTAATACGAGAGAAATTATATTTAATAGTCCACAAGATAATGGCACTGTTATGGACTGATTTGTACAATGGTGATATTTTCAAAAATTCACTGGTTTCATATTTAACATATTTTGCTTTCCTTTTTGACATAATGAAAGATGTTTCACTCCAATATCGTTACTCATCGATAAGGATCACTTGTATTCGTGAGAAAAATAAAGCTCTTTAAAATAATGAAAAAGAAAGCAGCGAAAAAGAAAAAAAATACAGTTTGTAATAAATAAACTAGCCTAAAAATATGTTAAAATGTGAATGGTATGAAAAACCATTTGTAATTGGCTGACATAGTAAATTACCTCTTCCATGTGATGTTTGTAACCAATGAAAGAGAGTATTACATAATGACCACAATATATAACAAAGCTAGTCCATGGCAGACATGCAAACTCTGCAGACAGGATACAAGGTTAAGTTTAGATTTATTATTCTAAAGATAAATACTGTGTTCATGTAGCAAATCGTTTAGTCCACTGCCGGGCTATCCTATCATGGTCTTCACGCGACTGCAGATATTGTGTGGCAATACTACCAACTAAAGGATCACCTGTGGAAGAAAATATATTGTAGTCAGATGCATTGACAGATGCGTCCCTGAATAAAAAAAAATAGGAATTTTGACTTGTCTCTATTCGTACCTTCTCAAAGAATATAATATCCCTTGTATCCCAGAATTAATGCCCCCAATATCGCAGACAACTCCCAATAAAATACTTCTTATATCCCAGACTCAGCTCCAAATTCATAACTCATATCCTAGAAACAGTTCCCAATTCATACCTCTTTAAGATCTCAGCTCATACCCCTTAATATCCCCGACTCCACTCCCAATTCATACCCCTTAATATATCCGACTCTG